GGTGGGCTGAGCTGGCCACACATGCACACACACACACATAAATAAATAAAATTAAAATAAATAAATAAATAAATAAATTTAGTACAGAGTCTCACTACACAGTTCAGACTTATACTGATCCCCCTGTTTTCAGCCTCCCAAACGCTGGAATTACAGGCACTCGCCACCACACCCAATCTCAATCACCATCACAGGGGTGGGAGGTGGGTGGAGGTGGGGGGAGGAGGGTTGACACAGCAGGCCTGGGATGGAATCTCCAAACCCTGTGTCTGCCTAAACAGGTGCTTTAATCCACTGAGGTATTTGGCCACCCGAAATTCTTTTTAGTGGCTGTTGTGAACAGAGATAAAACATAAGGAACCCCCTGCACACTCATCTTTATCAGGAATGTTACTACTCAGTGAATAACAGCTGTTTCTGGGGAGGTGTGGTGGCACATGTCTGTAATCCCACCACTCTGGGAGGCTGACGTAGGAGTACGATCAAGCCCAGCCTGGGAAACTCAGCAATTTATGATGTCTGTCTCTAAAAAAGGCTTGGGGCCCTTTCAAAGGCTCCCTGAGCCCGCTGACTACACCAGATGAGCAAAGTTCACCCTCCCGAGCTGAAAAAATTTATGGACAAGAAGTTCTCGAAAAAATTTATGGACAAGAAGTTCTCGTTGAATGGTGGGAGCTGGGAGATGGCTCAGTGGAATAAGTGCTTCCCTGGCAACTGGCAAGCACAAGGGCCTGAGTTCAATCCCTGGTTCTGCCCAAAAAAAAAAAAAAAAAAAAAAAAAGAACCCCCTTTTAGGGGCCTGGCCCTAGCTCAGTTCTTTAAGTGGCTGCTTCAGCAAAGCTTTCAGCCTCAGGTTGCTGTAGTTCAATCCCCACAACACTCCATCCAGCCAAACCACCCCTGAGGGCATTCAGAGCAAAAAAAAATCCTTATTCCATTTTGGGGGCCTGCCCCTTAGCTCAGTTCTTTAAGTGGCTGCTTCAACAAAGCAGTCAGGCTCAGGTTGCTGTGGTTCAATACCCACAACACAAGCAAGCCAGTCATGCCTTGAAGGCATTCGGAGCAAAAAAAAAAAAAAAGAAATTGAATGGTGGCAGACATGTCCAAGGAATATTTCGAGGATTTGATCCCTTCATGAATCTTATGATAGACGAATGTGTGGAGAGGGCAACTAGTGGGCAACAGAACAGCATTGGAATGGTGGTAATACGAGGAAATAGTATCATCTTGTTAGAAGCCTTGGAATGAGTTTATTTTATTTTTTTTTTGGAATGAGTTTAAATAATGACTGCTCAGCAGAAAAATTCATGCCCCTCCTCCAAGTGCTACTTTCACTGACTGAAGATTGGGTCATACACATTTTCATATATTAAATTTTTGTTAAATAAACTTTTGTAATAGT